GGGGGGGGGGGGGGGGGGGGGTAGGCTGGCTATTTATGGAAATGATAGTGAAAGAGGTGGGGTTTTAACAAATGACATGAATATACAGTTACCTAAAAAAATACTACTTCAATAGTTAGTCTGTCATATAGTCATAAACTGAGTTTATAGTGATCTAATATATTTTCAGTCAAATGTCCTGGGGAGGGCATGTGGGGAGGTCTAGTCTCCAGAACTAAAATATTTAAAATATGTATATACCTTATATCGTGTCGTAAATTCTTTTATTATTTGCATGCAAGGTAGATATAACAAGACAGCTAGAATTTTGAAAATGGAATTAAGAGTTTCTGTCAAAAAAACAGTGATACAGGATTATTTGCACTGGATTGTTCACATGATTGAGATCAGTGCGTTCAGTCAATCGCGTTGCCAAATATGGGCTCCCATAAGGCTTAGCGAGCACACTCCAAGCGCGTCCTTTGGAAATTTTATTTTAACGTCGGTTGATATAGGCAAGATTTCTTAACATATTGAAGAAAATAAGAAGTAATACTCCAATTTTTGAAGATAAAGACAACAATTTTAAATGTAAGTGTTCAGCTATGTCAATATTTTTAAGTTTCGTGTGTAAATATGTGCCATAAATAGTAATATATTCGTGTATATTTTAACCGCCGTGCCACAGAATACTACACAGAAGTCCATCTCCATTGTTTTTAGCGTAAGCTCTATTCAAAATTGTTACCAGAGAAGTACCAGGCGGGAAACGAATTCTGATAAATATATGTTATTTACCGGCTGCGAGGTCCGGATGAGAAAAACTGTGCCCGAGGTCTTGAAAACGGCCCGAGCCCGAAGGGCGAGGGACGTTTTCAAGACCGAGGGCACAGTTTTTCTCATCCGGACCGACGCTGCCGGTAAATAACGTGTTTATTTTTTATCAGATGTAAAAATTAAAATTCCAGTGTTGCTTGCGAACTAATTTGAGATCAGTGTAGTTGTGTATTTTCAAAGCGAGGCTGACAAATTAAAATTGAAAAGTTGAAAGATATAAAACACGAATACGAAAACTCGAGAAAACTGGCAAAGAAACACACAAAAAGACGTATAGTTCCAGTAAAAATGTACATGCTTTTTTCATAAATATGATAGCAGAGAAGCTTTGGAATAAAAACTTTTATGCCCGGCGTTTTGGCTTTGGCTTTGACAAAATCAGTTGCTCCTGAGTCCTGACAACGACAGGTTTATGTTCAGTACCGATCAAAAACATATAAAAATGAATCTGTTTTGATTTAATCATCGTTTTCTACTAAAAGGACAATGAGAAAGGTATGTTGTTTTTATATTTTTGTATTTTTTTCTTCTCGTCTTAGGATAATATGCTTGAAAAAAGTGTTTTTTAACACAAACTTTTACTTTGTTTACAATATTTATATCAGTGAAAAATGCATGACACAAATGGGTAGAGAATATATTCGTGACTTGTTTTTACTGCTGCAGTTAAACCTTCTTTTAAATGGGAAAACATTTATTTTACAATTCCTGTTTAAGCTGTAACTTTCTCGCTTTTAAGTGGCCGAAGACATGAGCATTTAAAAAAAATATGTAGTTTTCTCGACGTAAGTTTTATTCATGTCAAATATAAACTTTCCGACTTTCAGTCACATTTCTATCAAAATATTGAAAATTCTGGTGAACATCGTGCTTAGTATGAAGTCTTTCGGGCTTGATGCAATTCATTTTCGTATTCTGACTATCGTTAGTCCAGGTTAGGCTATGTTTTTCAAACGTTTTTGGCTGATTTTTTCGTTTAAAAATTGTTTCACTCCTCGGTTTTTGGCGCGAAATCCAGAGCGGGCAGTTGCATTTCACAGCGGGCAGTTGCGTTTCAGAGCGGGCCGGATGCAAAAAACCGGCCCGCTCTGAAAGGCTCTCAGCCAATCAGATTGCTTTATTTTCACTGATAAAAAATAATAAATATTAATGCCCAGCAAAGTGCTGGGCATTAATATTTATTAAGCTCTATTCGTCATGATTCGTCACTCAGCAAGTACCGTAAACAGAAGCAGTCCCCCTCCTGGAAATACTAAAAATGGCGTATGTCCAGGGGGTGACTGCTTCTGTTTACGGTACTTGCTGAGTGACGAATCATGACGAATAGAGCTTACGCTAAAAACAATGGAGATGGACTTCTGTGTAGTATTCTGTGGCCGTGCGTTGGCCGCATGTATATTTGTGTAAAAGGTTCAACAATATATTGTTATTAAAATACATTAAAACTTTGTGATATTGCCTTGTATTTACAGATTATATCTTCAAGCAAATAAGTAATGCCATAATATGTGATCTAAGCAAGTCAAACTGTCGAAATTATGATATATACAGGCTAGAAGAAGGTATGAAATATACAGTAGATAGAACAAAGGTAGGATTGTTCAGCTCTCATACAAAGCTATAAACTTGCTTTGGCGATTATATCAATGTTAGCTAAGTGAGTCAATATTGATACCCTCTCGATACATTTATAACAATATAAATATTATATTCTTAATGTATTGATGTATTGAGAAGCTATCAATACAATATATTGACTCATTTAGCTAATTTTGATTTAAGTTCTATGGCTTTCAGGCTTTGTATTTATGGAGGAGAACTATCCTTCTTTTGTGTTTATATCTATATTGTGTTATCACAGTAAATACAGCTATATTTATATTTATATTTAATACCCAGACAATCCCTGAATGTTGCTGAATACATTTTGGATACATTTTTGAGTTTCTCATAGTTTATATGCGTCTGAGGAATCCCAGGCTCACATTTTATGCATGAAGAAACTATTTAACATTATACATGGAGAGTTTTCAGCCCGGGCTGAGTTTCAGCCCGGTTAAACGAGCTGATCGAAATTGCATCACAATAATTTGCATGAGCAGTTTGAGCTCGGTCTGAGTTTAGTCAG